GGTGATTGACTTTCTGGAGTTTATAACCAGGTATATGTATGTACGAGTATTGGGTAAAATGGGTTTCGGTAATTAAAGATATATCAATACGTTTATTGTATAGTACCGATTGAGGTTCTAATGTATGATTTTTTAATCCATTGGCATTAAATAGTAAGATAAGTAGGAATTCATTAGTAGCAGTATTAGTTATTTTTTTTATCCAACACAGAGGAAATTTCTTTAGTAAGTAGAGTTATTAGTGGATTTAACAGAGATTTAAATTCTTCTAGAAAATGAGTTATTACTTTATTCATGTTAGGTTCTGAGTAGGGAGAAGGATGAGTTGAATGTTAGCCAGAGGTAGCCGGGGCGTAGGAATGAGTAGTATTTGGGGGAGCATCATTTGTTGGATAGTTAGTTTGTACATTATGCAGCTTAAATCTAGAATTATCAGATAGAAAAGCATTGTTTGAATGAGGCTTTATGCGCCGTTGAATTTCTTTGTATACTGAGCAGCCTCTGTAGCTGGTTGGGTGGTTTTTTTTACACTGAACACACACAGGGGGGGGGGGGCATCTCGAGAATTGGTGTAGTCTGATGAAAGGTGAGAATTGCCATAGCGAACGCAGCGTGATGGATGATTATAAAATGATTTGGTGTGACCGTATTTTTGACCGTTAATACAATAGTTTATTAATTTAGGTTTATAGGGCTCCTCGACTTTAATTTTGGTGTGGAGCATAGAAGTCAGATTGTAGATATCATTTGATTGGGGGGAAGGTTCGAGGTCATCGTAAAAAAGTGGTAATGGATGTTTATGGACTTTGTGAATAACATTTGTAACATTACGAACCTTAATATTTCGAAGTTCCAGTTCGGATTTGACTAAACTGATTTGCATTGACGGGTGTAAATTTCTAATCACTACACAAGTGGGTTTGTCTTGATGGAGCTGATACGTATGATATTCTGCTTTTTGATCCTTGAGGAAGTGTATTAGTGTTCTGTATACATCAAGAGTACTAGTTTAAATTTTTAATCGATCCGTAGAAGACTTACAAAAAAAGTTATCTACACCAAGTATCTCAATTAGACTTGAGCACTATTCAGGAAAGTCTAGAACACCTTTTATGAAAATTGGAGATTTGATGGTAGATTCTGTGTTGTTTTGATCTGCATTATTAGAGGACTTGTTAGATGTTATGATTATCGTTAATTTTGTCATTATCATTATCGGGTTAGCTGAAAACTTTAAATCGATTTGCTGTTGCAAATAATTTTTTTTTGGTTGGTTGACTTGATGATTTGGGTGAGTTTGAAACTGATGAGTTTGAGAAATTTCTTTATATAGTCTGAACGGTCCAATTTCCATTATCTGAGGTGTCATTTGGATTCGATTGAGACGATGCATTGTTATTAACAATTTTAATTTGTGATACCAATCTATCATTATTATTGTTTCGGTTATTGTTCTTTTGATTATTGTTTCCAGGCATTATGACATAAATATTTGTATATATATATATATATACAAGGCTGGACATTAACGAGTTAAAAGTTAAAATTAAGTTAAAACGTTAAGTTCATTTTAATTAAGTTAATTAACTCGTTACTTTTTTTTTTTTAAGATTAACGTGTTAACTTTAAGTTAATTTTATTTAAAAGTATCTAAATTAAGTTAATTTTAGTACAAAGAATAATGCAAATTATTAAATGAGGTTTTTAGTATATTTATAATTTACTATTTTAATGTGAATTTCTTGTAGACGAAAATAATATGAAAAATAACTTTAATAGTCATTATATGGGTTATATTTTACTATTATATTTTTATAACATTGTTATTGTATAAACACTATTAACCCATGAAAATACTAAGAATATTCTGTGAAAATAGTAAATACCATGAGAGCGAATGTCGATGGGTGATTAATCACAAAATAACTGTGGTATAATTTCCAATTTAATTTCATTATTCAACTAGTATGTGGTCTATTCACATCTCGTTAGAATTTATAATATATTCTTATTAGTTTATTATATTTCTGTGAAAATTTATTATTTCTTTATTAATTATTTAATTATTAATAGTCATTAACTAAAAAATAGTTAATACTTTTATGTATCATTTTAAATTTCCCCAGTAATTTTCTTGAGCGTAAAAATACTAATATTATGTGTGCAATTTTTTATTTTTGAAAATTAAAAAATTTTAACTTTAAACTAAGTTAAATTATTTTTTTTTTCAAATTTAACCCTTAACTTAACGAGTTAACGAAAAAAATATAAGTAATTTTTAATTCAACTTAACTTTAATATTTTAAAATAACTTAACGAGTTAAAAAAAAATCGTTAACTTGCCCAGCCTTGTATATATATATATATATATAAATATTATTATTATTAATGCGATAAGAATGACTATAAGAATCTCGAGGCCGCTGTAATAAAAATTCAACTGCGGTTAACACGAGATACCGTCTACTAAATAAGCGTAAATAAGCGTAAATTTCGCATTTGAAATTAATTTTAGTTAATAAAAGATAAATAAAGATTAAACACTAGGTTAACGCATTTCGGCGCGTTTACCGTATTTGTAAGTAAATAATTAATCGAAAAAAAAAAATAATACCACATGGGAGCAGAATACACGTGCGTGCCGGACGACCGCTATTGCAGAACTTGCGGTCGAACATTAAAAATGAATATTTCATCGTCTTTTGTGACCTCAATTTCATCCATACTCGTACGTTAATATTATTATATTGGCCGTTATTGTCTTCACCAAGAACTACTTATTTGTCAGTATTCAATCGAAAATTATTTAATTAGATTTGTTATTATTAGGAATTTGCAATACAATTACTTGAAAAGTAGGACTAATTTTTTTTTTTTTTTAATTTGAATAAGATAATGTTTATATTGTCATTATAAACTAATAAATTAAATGAATGAATTTAAAATTATTTGAGAAATAAATATTTTATAACAAACGATGTTGTACTCAATGATTGAGACATTTATATACTTGTAAAATTATTTTGCAATAGTTTAACAATGGACTCCATATTAACAGTAATGGTTTTGTTGATAATTAAATAATACTATAATTCGTAACATCTGTAAGTCATAAAAATTCATGTTCAACACTATTTAATTAAGTGATATTGAATTACTCACAATAGTTTTGCGGGAAAAAGTAAATTTTTTTTTTGTATTTGTTTTCGAATAATGGCTTGTCGTTTAAGACTACTATCGTCACTATTCCCATACAAATAAGTTTAGTTGTTTTAGGCATATATTTCTAAACGACATGAATATCACAAAATGTATCCAAAGTCTTTAACATAGCAAATTGAAAGTAGTATGCGGTATTATAGTATTTTTTTCGAGATTGTTTCCTACGAAAATACATTTTTTATTGATTATATTCCAAAAGAACCCAGGAATCCATTAGTTTTACAATGATGTGTTTGTTTTTTCTTTTTGGGCTGTGAATATTTCTTGGGGCACAATGCGTCAGTCCTCTAAAGGTTTACGAGCACTTTTAAAGATTGGAAATTACGTGAGATAAAAACAGTAACAAGAAATATGTAGAAAAATCGTTAAAAACATATTATAGGTATTTTAATTATTTTTGGACCATAAAATGTTATGGATTTACACCTAGTTTTTAGAAAAATTGAATTTTTTTATTGAAATATAGTAAAATAGTATAATACAATTTGAATTTTATTTTATATGCCAAATGTAGAGTGTTGTTATATCCAGAATTTTTTTTAGAGGTAGAGGGGTACACAAGTTATAAAATTTTAACAAATACACTTCCAAAAAGAAAAAATCGACTAAATTTTTAATGTTTTTAATGCAATTAATATTATTATATAGTATAAGCAATCATTTTACATTTATGTTTCAATCTAATTTATTTTATAAATATAGTGGCATTTGGTTGTTCTAGTGAACATGTCAATAAACGTGATAAAATTGTTTTGCGCATTCACACATCCAGTGGCGGACCAAGGGTGGTGCTTGAGGGTGCTAAGCACCCCAAAACTGATTTTAACACCCATTTAGTTAATTTTCTCAGAAATAGTTACGAAATAGATATATTTTGTAAAAGTATATTTGTAAAATAAATGTATTATGAACATAATTAAGAAAATGGTAAATAATAAAAAATGTTAACATAATTTGTATTTTAAGAAAGTATTGTTGAATATTTATTTATTTACTTTGGTAAGAGGAGCTAAGTACTTCCTGGTTTTTTTATCTGGATCCTTCACTGTATCCATCCATTTCTAAATAGTACACAGTTGTATCTTGTAAGTTGTAACAGTTGTAATTGTCACAGTAGTACAGTTATCACAGGAATACAGAATTATGATAAAATAGATCTTGGACTCAACGCCATAAGTTTTTAACTTCAAACCAGGCAGACAATAGACCCTTTGTTATATTATTGAAACCCAAATATTTTAAATATTTTGAACTAATTGATAGTTTTTAGTAAATTTGGCTTATTGTATTAGTGCTCTACTTCAGCCATTCAGGTCAAGGTGGTCAAGCGATCTAAGACGTTGCGTTCAGGTCGCAGTCCACTTTATGAGCGTGGGTTTGAATCCCGCCTTTGACAACAATATTATATTTATTAATTATTAGTTTCCCTCATCAGTGAAATTATTTCAATTATTTTTGTTGTTCTCTACAATGAGAGAAACATATACCGCACACTCAAGCTCGTTTTAGACCACTGGTGGTGGTAAAACTGCAGTCCGCAATAAATTATTAAATTGAAAAGAAAAGTTAAAATAGATTTTATTCGTATACCGTTTAAGTACACGCATTACATTGATTTTCATCGCCGTTCGGTGTTCAGTTTACAGTGACGTCGTATGACTGATGAAAATACAATTTTCGTTTCGTTTCTTTCGATTTAAAGTTCACACATTCACACACACGGTATATAATTTGAAAACTGTACGCCGACGTCACCTGATCGTGCTCGTATGTTTCAGGCCCGCCGACCGGAGCGCCAAGGACGTGGAGGCCATCGCATCGCGTCTCCGACGGGTTGACACTTTGAACCGTCTGCCCAATAGCGTTCTGCAACAGTTGGCATTGGTGGGCTACTACGAGGACTTGGAACGCGGCGTGATGCGTAAGTACAAATGATAGAATACGTTTTGCGTTGTGACGTTTATGTTCGTGTTGCGACTGTTCGACGACCCCGTTTAAAGCGACACGAAGGGGTGCAAGGTGACTTGGTATCTCTAAATTTGGATGTGCTAAGAATTAAGTTTCCCTCTGTGTCAGCGTTTCTCCTAAAAGTTCACCAGTACGATTAAAATAATCGCACGCGTTATTAATCACATTAACGATATCTTTTGAAAACATCGCAATACACCTATTGTACAATACAAACACGTAGTGTAAATTTTATTTATTGCGTAAGTATGCTAATGATAACATTTGGAAAAACTTTTTTTCGGGTGAAATATCTGCTTTTTTCGATGTACTTACATCGTTGTTGAATAAAACCTTATGACAATCGCAAATCCTTTACACAAATAACTATTATAGCACATATTTTAAATTGAAATATCATAAAAATCTATTATATATAAATATTATATCATTTACTATCAATCGCAAAATATTTAAATAATAACACACTAGCCTTTATCATTTCATATGCTTTAGCAATTAAAACAACCTTCTGGCGTATAACAACAGCAGTCACAATTAAAAATAACAAACTGTAGAGTTTTACTAGAAATAGACTCTCTAACTACAAAATAGATCTCATCGATGTTGAAGTTATAGTAACAGATGCTTCTACTCCTGTTAAAATCTGGTCTTGTTATATCCCATTCTTAGAAAATACATACCACTCCTTTAACAACAGAGAGTTCTATATAGCCACTTTCGTAAATATACGCGGTACTTTCGATTCAGTCAATATTCGCACTCTTATCTCACATCTCACCTCACTACATGCCCCTCAACAATTTTGTAATATATTAATCTCTTTGTTCAATAAAAGAAATCTCGTTTTCACCTCTCCTTTTGGGTCTTATAACTCTCGTACCACATTCTCTGGACTACCGTAGGGTAGTTGTATTAGTCCAATACTCTTCAATATTTACATGAGTATAATCGGAAAACATCTAGTGATGAATGGTCATAAATGCCTCATATATGCGGATGATATGGTTATATTTACGTCCAATAAGTTCCTTGATCTTGCCATTGTTCACCAAAATCGAGCCCTCAAAGATCTTAAATTCATACTGGATAAGGTATCATTTGTAGCCGCCCCAGAAAAATGCAAATCCGTCATATTCACCGACGAAGATATTTTGATGATCCAAACATTCTTTTCGACAACAATATCATCCCCTATATTCCCAATATCACTTATCTAGGTATCATCTTAGATGTTAAACTATGTTGGACTCCACATATAACATCGCTTACGGCCACTGTTTCTCGATGGTCCAACTTCCTTAGGACAGTGACCAATACCTGGTGGGGTTCTCACCCCTCCAGCTTACTAATGGTTTACCGTACCATCATCCGCTCCAAACTCGATTACGGCTATTTTTTCTTCGGCTCAGCAATATTCTCAAATTGGAAAAAAATAAACAAACTACAAATTTCTTGCCTCAGAAATATTATGGGTTACTTAAGATCTACTCCTTGCCCGATCATCGAAGTAGAATCAAACTGTGCTCCTTTCAACATCAGATGCCGATGGTTAACCAACAAATTTATTCTAAAACAACTTGCTCACTCTAATCATCCTATTTTTGATATGTATTATTCGTTATTCCTCACTTGGCGATACGTTACCAAATCAATTCCCATCCTTGCAATTTCAGCGTACTCTCTCTCTAACTTTCACCAATTTATTTTGAAATCAACCAAGCTACCGTGTTATGAACAATCTTATGAATCTTTATTATACTCACCATCTGTTTTAACAGATAGCAACTTCTCTTCCCTTTTTTCTTATGATCTACAAACCATGTCTCACTCTATGATAAACAAAATATTTTCAGCATTCCTTAAAGAAAATTTTCGTCATTACATTACGGTTTATATTGACGGTTCAGTCCCCCCCCCTCTCAGCAGGTTATGCATTTTACATCCTGGAACTGCATATGTCTTTTACTAATAATTTACCTGCTTCGTCTTCGTCCTTCTCCGCAGAGTGCTGCGCCATCATAGAAGCACTTATTTTTATCTTTAATTTGACCCCTAACAATTACCTAATAGCCTCTGACTCCATGTCTTGTCTACTTGCTCTCAAATCTAACCCCCTTAATTCCCATATTTCCCCCTTCGTGCTTCGCATCAAACAAATCACCTTACTTCATCATTCAAATTACTCCATCGAATTTCTGTGGATCCCAAGCCATATAGGCATAAATAGTAATGAGATCGCCGATAGTCTTGCCAAATCTACGGCTAACTTAATTTGTCCCTCTCTTATCCAAATTCCCCATACTGATTTCACTCCTTTTATACGCCGCCCCATAAAACATCTTGGAACTCCCTATGGTCTAATCTCCCAGCATAATTCGCTGCCAGATATAAACATATTGCTCCTATAATTCCTCATAATACCTGGTTCAACATCCTTCATCTATCTAGAAAATCCATCGTTCATTTCAATCGCCTTCGTTCAGGTCACACACTCCTACTTGATCATGCCTATAAACTCGATTTAAACGACGCTCCTTATTGAAACCTACATCTATCAGAATATCTTTGTGACATATCTCACATTCTTTTCGAATATCCTTCCTTAAACCTAAAACGCATTATTTTATTCAAACTCCTAAATGCTTTTAATATCAACCCTAACCTTTTCTCTATTCTTAACTCTTCATCAGAAATTGTCATAAATAAAATCATAGAATTTATCTTGGAGGCTGGCTTTAGCATCTAATTTTATTTTTCTTTATCAATCTCTCTTTGTATGCACTTTTTTTTTTTTTAGTTTTTTTGTATTATGTAAATGATATCGAATATTGTTATTATCCGTAATTGTTATTATCTTTAATTTGTTTGTTTTTGTTGTTTTATTTATATTGCTATTGTTAATAATTGTTGAGCTATAATTGTTGTGTACAAGAAGTTAAAAAAAAAAAACTGTAGAGTTGCACACGGACATATAAGTTATTCATATATCACCTAGATAAAGCCAAAACTTTCACGTATCCTACAAATCAATGATCATCAAATAGATCATCATGCGGTATATATTCGCTTGCGTATCTGTTCTATCCTACGGTCTTTTAGTTGTTGCAATTATTGGTGCCTATATATGAATGATATAACATTATTCATGTGGTCCCCCTTTGTGTAATAGTAATCGTAAGGGCGTACATATATAGGTAAAAATTAACATAATGAGTAGCCTGGGATTATATTTTCATGAAATCTAAATCTAAAATCAGAAATTTATGTTGAAATATATATATTTAATGCACATACTGAAATAATATAATAACAATAAAACATAAATTTAAGTGGGCTGTTTAACCAAAAATATAGTTTATTTTACTTTCAATTAATTCATAATAATTTGTTCAAATTCCTTGTTTCAATTAAACTAACTATTATAATAGATTATTTAAGAATATATAATTGGTGAATATTTTACTTATGAATTGTTATTTCGAACATATCACATGAAAAAAACACAAACTTTATTAATAACGGACGTGCCATAAATTTTAATATTTACTCTTGTTATTTTTCGATTTAAAACTACTGAAAAATTACACTAATTAGGACTTTTCCATATAAATCACATAGGCGAGGATACTTCTAGAGTACTTCTTCTACTGTGATAAGCGATGAATACTCGTAAATAAGAAAAACGTTATGTATTATTTTGTAGTTGTCAACATTTATAATTTATAAACGATGATCTTTCGATTCCAGTAATAATTTTCAATATTTCTTTATTTATATAAACGCTTTAACTTCGTTATACATTTCAAAATATGATTATATGATTTAAATTACGTTTTAATATAACGTGTCTATCTCTACATTAATTATTTATTAAGTATGGTTTTTAATTTTATTTTTTAATAAATTATTTATTTTGACAAATGGTGAATACTGTTATGTTGGAAATCGATTAGACAGTGATATTTCAGGTTTATTTTGTACGAGCATTCCACTAACTCAGATTAAAAAATTACAGATTACTGAACATAATTAAAATACTGATTTATTATGTATTAAAAACAGATACATTTTTTATGTGTTAACAGTAGGTTTATAATACTTAATTCATTTAAGTACAATGGTTTATTTGGATTTTATTTTTGTCATTTATAATTGGAAAATTTCATATGGTATTCGACGAACAGTGTTCATATATTTCGACCTTATACCGCGTTGTACTTGAAAGAATAAAGTTTTAAATTCCATCTCATTACATTTTTAACCAGTATAATCTGCATTTATTTGTGATTTAAGAAGATCACGATAATTCGATGAAAGCTGCATAAACTGTGATATACATGTTGTACAATACAAATGTAATAATGTAGTATGCACAAATATGTAAACGTAAAAATCATAGTACATATTTATTATTTAAGTAAACAGAATTAACTTTTCATAATTATCAAGTGTCGTATAACAATAAATTGGCCATTTGAACGACAGTTATGTATCGTAATTCAGAAACTAACTTAATAGGAACCTCAATTATAATTCCCTTAAGTTTACTTCGTGCTTTTCTACTTATTTTTCTCAACCTACTTTAAAATAAGTCATCAAGAATGTTCTCAAATACAAAATGCAGAACGGATAAAGTATATCGTAATCATAAACAACTAATGTCAGTACAGTTAATTAATGAGAAATGATTATAGAACAAAATAGCTGTATATTTTTTTAATGTAATCTTATGAAAATAAAATGATTTTTAACAATTACCATAAATTCGGTTAAAAATAACTAGAATGTTACAAGTCTTGCAATGTTTTCCTAGGTAAAATTAGTTTCATCATGGTCATACATTGTATGCATCATACATTTTTTCATTATAATGGATCATATGATAAAATACAGTATTTATAATAAGGTGCCCAATTTGCAATTTTTAATAGATTGGAATCAGGAAGAAAA